GTGGTTATGCAACATTTCATGTTGCGGATGGATTGTTTGGAAGGGCTCTTTCATCTCAAACACTAACATTAAGCTCCATTATAATCCCAAGCGGTTTGGAGAAGGCAACATGTTGGTTTTGGTTGGTTTTGTTGTGGCAGTAGAGGAGCGGGTGTGATTGAGGCCCACAGAACCCAGAGCTCATAATCCAGAGCCGCTGTGTGGCACTCAGGGGCCACTGAACCAATTACATGCTGCATTAAAAAAGAAGGATAACTGCCTCTTTGGCAGCAATTTCATACGGGATCTGCCCTGGAAGCAGCAAATCAGAGGAAATGTAAAAACTGATTAACAGAGCCTTGAAGTCTACAGAGGATCCTAGCCACTAATTTGTGCATTTGCTTTTTACAGCTGTTAAATATGTTCTGTAAGCAGAGGCTCGAGTGAAATCCAAGCCGATGATTCTGGTTGTTTTTTTTGTATCCTATTCGTTGCAAATTAGTTTAAGTGCATTTGAAGTTTTCAAATTGATTTTGTTGTTCTTAATCTGCATATGCAAGATGGTTTTCTTGTTACATCTGAGAATGACATCTTGGTCAAATGGCTTTCTCGTTTGTAAAATAAGCATCTACTTTTTCAAACAAAAGACATGCATTACATAATGCTCATTCTCAGCATTGTGAATCGCTCGACACCCTTCACTGAAATAAAGTGATCGCAGACTGCCATCTAGTGTTACCATTCAAGAACTAGAGCTCAGTATTTATTTATTTTTTTTAATAAAGTACTTTTGTTGATGGATTTCATTCATAAATGTGAATCTGAAGATATATATATATATATATATATATATATATATATATATATATATATATAAAAACTTTTTCAATAAATGCTCAAATATTGTAGTCAAAATTATAAGCCCCAATGTTTGTGAATATTTAATTCCTTTTAAAGTATTCCCAAGTGCTGTTTAGCGGAAACATAATAACATAATAATTTCAAACAACTAATTAGCTTTGTCTGTCATGATGACAGAACATAATGTATTATTTTGCAAGGTATACGAGTACTGTGCTTAAAGTGCAATTTAAGGGCTTAACTAGATTTATTAGCTTATTTAATTAGACATGCTATTGAACAACAGTGGTTTGTTCTTTTGCGAATGGGGGGGGGGGGGGGGGGGGGGGGGGGAATCTTAAATGGCTAATAATGACCTTAAAACTTATTTCACTTTTTTAAACTTCCAGGCAATCTAAAAGAAATACGACATAGCCTGTTCCAGAATAAAAAAGGAAGTACTGTGAACATCAGTACACACTATTTTGAAAAATAATATTTTTACCCATTTCTCAGGGATAATCCGTAATATATTTTTGGTGCATTTAACAAAACAGATTTAGAAATATATTTGTATTTAAAAAATGATATCTCTTTATTCTCTTTATTTTTCCTTTTTTTTTTTGTAAAAAAAAAAAAGAAATTTATTCAATATTTTCCGCTAACATATACATGTGTTTTGGACGGTTGTTGTAAGTTATTTTGTTAGATAGGCTCCAGATTTGGCATTAATACTGACTAATCTAATGTATGTGCACAAACATAATTTCGTATAGCATCTTATAGAAAATATTCATTTGAAAGATAGATTTCTGAGAGGTGTGTTCATACGGTGTTTAGAATAAATAAGTACACCCTATTTTGAAAATGATTATTTTTATCCTTTCTCAGTGAACATAGGCAATGCATTTTGGTGCATTTACACAAACCAATTTATTTAACAGATTGATTTATTAAAATAATACTTTAGTTATTAAACATCTTTTAAAATGAAAAGATAACACATTTAAATTCAAGCAAAATATAGCAAAAACATTTTACAATTTACACTCTTTCAACAACACTTTTTTTGCTTCTTTGAATTTTTCCTCTTTTTTTAAATTTGTATTTAATATTTTTTATAACATATAAATTTGTATGTATTTTGGTTAAATAAAAAAAAACAGATATATTTATTATTATTAAAATTTTATTTGTCAACAAACATAATTAGAAATTGAAAGATAATACAATTAATAACATAAATGTGGGTGTACTAGTTTTTGGACCGTTATCGTAAGTTATTTTGTTAGAAGCTCCAGATGGCTTCAGTACTGACTAATGTATATACACAAATATAATATTGTATAGCATCCTATTAAAAATATGAATTTAAAAGAGAGATTTGTGAGGGGTTTACTCATAAATGCTAAGCTCATATGCTGAGCACTGTGTTTACAAAAACAAATTGAGCAGTTTTCAATAAGAATTATTGAACAGAAAATCAATATGTTACAATGAAAGTTGAGCTTTGCATCACATGAATGAATTGCATTCAGCTTTATTACAAAACAGTAATTTTAATATGTGACATCTGACAATATTTAATTATATTTAACTGTAATCAATTCAAGTTTTAGTGAGCATAAGTGACCTTTTCCTTTCACAAAAAATAACAAAAACAGGATTACTCCATCTATTTGAGGAGGTCTCTGTTTATTTCAGCTTTTTGAAGATCATATGACAGTAAGATAATATTAAAATAACTCAAGTTTAGAAAAGGCTTAATAGTATGTAATAATGCATCATCAAATGTATTAGCTTTTTCTTTTAAGTACAACAAAAAACAAAATATTTATTCATTTTATTTCTTTTCTGCTTAATCCCTTTATTAATCTGGGGTCGCCACAGCGGAATGAACCGCCAACTTATCCAGCATACTGTATGTTTTATGCCGAGGTTTCCCTTCCAGCTGCAACACATCACTGGAAAACATCCATAAACTCTCATTCACACACATACACTGCTGTGAGGCGACAGCCCACTACGCAACCGCACTACCCACACAATAATTATATTGTATCAAATGATTAATTTAAATATAATAGTTAAATAACAAAGTGAAGCCACGTAACAGTAAATGAAAAAGGTTAATTGCCCCCAAAATCAGCTTTTACCATCCTGACATGTTCTGCATTTAGAAAGGAAATTGTGCAAATATGTGTTCAATGCTGAAAGTTTAGCAAACCGTGATACTTTTATCTCTTTGCTCAGAAACAGGAAGGCATCAGAGGTTGTGCATGGCACAATTATTCATAACACATTAGTTGGAATGACACAGCCACAATTAAAAATACAGACTCTATAGAATATTTCGTAATTTTACACTTTAAAACATTTACCACTGCCTGAAGATAATTTAAACAACAAATAAACAAAACACAGCTAAAAAAATTATTGATGTATGTTTGATTTGAAGTGCTTTACCAAAAATGTGCACATTTCAGCCTTAAGTCCCATTGTTTATTTTAGGACAGACAGTATATTTTAGTCATCTTATTTATCTTCTAGATTTCCACTATAATGTACAGGTATATACTGACCTATTGAAATATTAATACTCTTTTTTTTTTTTTTATCTCATATTTAATTTAGAAAAAATAAAATTTAAAAAAATTAGGTTGGCTATAACAATTACAGCCTGCTAATTTCGCTGCACGTTTGACCGACTAAACATTCATTCAATTGAATACATTAGTAAGGATTAGCATAAACATTAGCAATTTTACCACGCCCTTAAGTATTTTCACATTTTTAAACTTAATTTTATACATTTAAATGTAGTCACTTCACTAAACACAGTTATGGTGCTTAACGTCAAAAAGGAATTACAGTAGCCATGCATGACCATAACAGTAAAATATAACCCAATCAAATAAACATAATAATAAAATAGTCATAAAAGAACATTCTAAATGGACAATCAAATTGCCCGAGGGCTGTTGAACCATTCAAATTCAGCTGATGCAGAAATGATGGCTATTTACTGAAGTGAATGAACCAATTGTGGTTGAATAAATTACATAACGTTGGTAGATTTTACGATGAAATGAGACAGTCGGAGGGTCACTTGGTTTGCACAGGCGCAATGCACAGTGTAAGTGTGAGAGCGAAGGATATTTGATTTAGATGGAAGAGTCCACATAAAAAAGAGGGGTCGCAGACAGCATCTATTATACATGCATAACATAACAATAATGATAAGGTAACTGTACTTGACATAATTATATGTGACTTTATATAAACCGATATTAATAATTAATCTATCAACTTTAGAACCACAGACACAGCTACATAAAAAACTGAGGAAACGATTAGAGGTGGTAATATTAGTGATGGAGGTCCGACTCTTTCGCGAATCGGTTCTTTTGAACTGGTCTTTTCAAAATAGTGGTTCAAATGCCTTTTTTGTGATATTGATGCATTCTCCATTAAATAACAATTAGAGAAGATTGCTGTAATAAGTTTTAATTCTAATGTTACTGGTCGCTGCATGGGCATCAACGCATGGCTTACAGTTTTAGTAAAACAGTCAAATGATTCTTCATTACTTCAGATTAATGTGTCTGTCTAGGCCTAGGTGCAAGCATAGACTGCAAAAAAATAAAAGTGGTGCTCACTGCAGAGCGAGCAGTGTCTCCAAAAATAGGGTGCAACATATTGCTATTTCTGCAATAGTGTAAAATACACCTAAAGTAGCATAAATTAGTAGTAGTGGCTGTTTCTGCAACATTAAATAAATAAAACAAACAAACAAATAAATAAATATAAATAAATAAATAAAGGCATTGGAAGATATAAAAGTTGAGGGGAAAAATAATCAGATTTAAGTTTCCTCTTTATATTAAATAAATATATGAGCGCTGAGGTTCTTAGAGATACAATTCTTAGAGATAAAGTCAAAAGTGTGACATTCATTCATTCATTTTCCTCCGGCTTAGTCATTTGATCATGTGAGAATTTTAAACTTGAAATGTATTTATTTGTGACAATTTGTTTTTAAGTCAGAACTATAATACGAACATAAGATCCAGAAACAAGCTTTTTGTTCACGATTGCTACTCTGAGTCATTTTAGTGAACTCTTCAACTGATCCACTTAAAAGAACCGACTCGAACGACCGATTCATGTGCGGCATCCCAGGTATTTGAGCGCGGACACTTGGCGGCGCCCACAAGCTGTTCTGTGACAATTGATGGAGCGATTTGGGGAAGATGGACTTTGATAAACCGCGGCCACACAATTAGTCTAATGAATTCTTCAGTTTTCTAAGCTCTTTGTATGCCCGATCTCAGTCTACCGTGGCGGACTCCTTGCAAACTAAAGGTCTGTTCCATTTAAGAAAAGGGGGCCTGGTACTTTTTTTCAGCAACATGCAATGGATGTGCACATGACCAGCTGTCTTTTGAATTGATGCTCTTATTAATCAAGCCATTAAATCCACCTCAGCTTTTTTATTAGGGACAATGGCAGCGGTAACGAGTCCGGAAACAACACCTCAACCCCGGGTCTATTTTCAAACACCTCCCGGTACCGAAGAAGAAGTGCCACAGAAGCAAGGACGAGTGACCGTAAAATATGACAGAAAAGAGCTGAGGAGGAGGCTGAATTTGGAAGAGTGGATAGTTAGCCAGTTAATGAATCTGTACGACTGCGAGGTAGGAAACAAAACACTGTCACTGCTTTCAAAACCTGCAATCCTTTGTTGCCAGGAATGACAGCTCTTTCTTTCCAGCAGCACTCGTGCACCGGTATTCTTCACGCTCCATTTGTCATGTCCATTTAGCGCGATAGTTGACTAATAAATAGCTTGCTTATTAACTCCAGCATGTCATCTTTTATTTATTTTTTTTTATTTGTGTTGACTTTTAATCGATGCTGATTTCATGGTTTTGCGTTTGCACATGGAAGGGCGTGGCATGACAGAACTAACAGACAAAGCCATAAAACAAAGGTGAGTCTTATGGACAGGTGCTGCGAGGACAGAAAATAGACATATATTCATAATGCAGTCTTTAATCATAACGAATCCATTCATTTTTCATCGAAACTTGGGCTTGCCTCGTTTATTAATGTGACAGTTCTATAACAGGATGGAGCTCTAGTTGCAGGAACAAAGGCATATATTTCAATTCTAATATTTTTATATTTACACGTGCACAAATCCCAATATTTCTCTGAATGGGGTTATCATGTCTATTTAATATGCATACATATACAGTAGGTCAGGATGCATTTTATTATTTCTTAGTTTCAGACCCCTGGGATGTTTGGAATCACCCTTTTAGCCATTGTGATGATGTCATCTGTTCAGACATGCAAAGCATGCTTCACTCTGAGCTTGACTTAACCTCCAGGGCTAATATAACTGACCTAGATTATATGTGGTGTAAAACTAGGCAGCTCTTGAAAATGAGATTTTTTTTTTCTCCTGTGAATGCTCTCTTCAGCCCAGCGGTAGGCCTCATCCTGAGCTAAAATCTCGCTTTGTCTGATTGACATACTGAATCCGTTGGATTTGTTTAAGAGCCTGCTGACTTGTGATAAGTTTTCCACTGACAAATGGTTTCTGATGTCAGATTATAGCCCTACACAGTATGGTGACATTTCAATAATGAGGAGGAAGAAGAAAATAAAAGTATGCATTGTCGAACCTGTGAAATGTCATCTGAATCCCACAGGTTATGCGTACATTAATGTGGCCTGACAGCAGAATTTTCCATTATATTGCATGTTTGGTCCAATTATGCTGATGCTTTGAGAGCAGATCTGAAATCACAATAGCCCTCAGCCAAAAAAAAAAACCCGAAGATAAATGTTTGTACCTAAGAGAACAGCGATGCACTGTGACAAATTACATAACTTAATTTAAATCTTTTTTTGTTGTAGCTTCTTTTCAGAGTAGTGGACAAAGATTGGTTGAAATGTATTTTTGATTAGATATGTAGCTTTTCAATGTTTCCAACGCAGCACTGAAAATATTATATGTGTGTTCAAGTATATTTATATAGATAGATTTGCACATTTGCTCATTGAGCATAGAGCAGGGAAAGAAAAACTACATGGTAGGCATGGGCCGGTATAAGTTTCTGATGGTATGAATATCTTGGATAAAAATATGGTTTTACAGTATCACGGTATTGTGATTACTGCTACCAAATAAGTTATTTTTAAATGTCTGTGTAAGAAAACCTTTTGCCCCATTTAATAAAATACATTTTATTTTAGGAAACATATTATTTTGGAACGGTAAATATGTCAGGATAAATAATTTAAATAAATCATTGACCTGCTGTCTTCATTAGTTTCAAAAAACAGATTTTTTTTGCAAAACGTTTTAAAAAACACATTGAAAAACGTTATAAATACACCTTAGGAACATTATAACAGAAAACTTAAGCAGTTTTAAAACCTTGACTTCTTCAAATGATGTTTAACAGAACAAGGAAATTTTCACAGTATGTCTGATAATATTTATTCTTCTGGAGAAAGTCTGACTTGTTTTATTTTGGCAACAATAAAAGTTAAAAATAAAAATTAAAAATTTAAAATATTTTGTGTCATTTTGTATAATATAATTTTAAAGACAAAATTATTAGCCCCTCAAGCAATTGTTTTTTGATAGTCTACAGAACAAACAATTGTTATACAATAACTTGCCTAATTACCATAACCTGCCTAGTTAACCTAATTAACCTAGTTAAGTCTTTAAATGTCACTTTAAGCTGTATAGAAATGTCTTGAAAAAATCTAGTCAAATATTATGTACTGTCATCATGGCAAAGGTAAAATAAATCAGTTATTAGAGGTGAGTTTTTAAAACTATTATGTTTAGAAATGTTTTGAAAACATTCAGAAATTGGGGGGGGGAAAAAATATATATATATAAACAAACTGACTTGAAATATGCACACTATCATTTAAAGGTTTAAGGGTCAGTAGTGTTAATTAATGCTGTATTTAATAAAATCTAATTTTTATAAATATAGGTACAACTAAATAGAACAATACTGTGTAATATGTAAACAGAAGTTCAAATGTTTTCATTTAAAATTTTTAAAGGTCCCATAAAATAAAAAAATAAAAACTTAGATGTTAGTTTCAGTCTGTTAGTTTTAAGGACATCTATATGTTGATGTGCTCCAAAACATTGACAAAATTAGCATTTATAATATATAAACCAATATAAACATGTAAAGCTTGCAGTTTATCATTTTGGCTAAATCAGGGTGCCCAAACTTTTTTCAAATAAATGGCAAAAAAACAAATATTATTATGAGCCGTGGACGGGAGGTAAATATACCAAACTGCATTACATTACATGGTATTACAAGTTCATTCATTCATTTTCTTTTCGTCCCTTTATTAAACTGAGGTCCCCACAGCGGAATGAACCACCAACTTATCCTGCACATGTTTTATGCAGCGGATGCTCTTCCAGCCACAACCCATCACTGGGAAACATTCACACACACTCATTCACACACATCCACACCGGACAATTTAGTCTACCCAATTCACCTATACCACATGTCTTTGAGCTTGTGGGGGAAACCGGAGCACCCAAAGGAAACCCACGCGAACATGGGGAGAACATGCAAACTCCACACAGATACGCCAACTGACCCAGCCAAGGCTTGAACTAGCAACTTTCTTGCTGTGAGGCGAACGTGCCACCCACTGCGTCACAGCATCGCCCTGTATTACAAGTTGCCATAAATAATTTTATAATTAATTGCAATATATATATATAAAAAAACATTCCCTTAAATTGTATTAACTAATGCAGTGTAACTTTTAAAATGATAACTTATTGCAATAAAAACATAACAGTGAACAGTGGGGTTCAATGCTGAATACATTAGTCAAACAAAATCTGCCATTGCCTAATTTGCTAAGTTTCGACACATTTGCTTCGACTGTTTCAGTGTTTCATGAAGCCTCACCTTGCCCACTACTATAAAAGGCTACATTAGATTTGTATGACTATCTCGTAACCAGGGGTGACCAACCCTGTTCCTGGAGATCTACCTTCCTGCAGATTTTAATTGCAACCCACATCAAACACACCTGCCTGTAATTATCAAGTGCTGTTCAGGTCCTAATTAATTGGTTCAGGTGTGTTTGATCAGGGTTGGAGTTGAACTCTGCAGGAAGGTAGATCTCCAGTAACAAGGTTGAGCACTGCTCTAAACCATCCCCATAAATCTTACTCTCTTCTCAGTTGGGATGGTGGGCCAAATCAAAGGTTACTATGGGCCAGCCCGCGGGCCCTAGTTTGGGCATCTCGGGTCTAAAAGATAAACTTTTTTTTTCACATCATCTCATACTTCAGTTTCTCATCAAAGCTTGACTAATCAAATGCTCTCTAGTGTCTGCCATGTCATGCACCCTTCAAAACGCTTTACTTTTCATTTGATCAACTTAAGCTCAAACCCACTCATTGACAGAGCTGTGATTATTAAATTATTATTATTGGCTGTTTTTTATTAAAAAGGGGAGGAGCTACTATACATCCTCTTTTCATTTTTCAGTTGCGATTACGTTAAACATTGAATAAAAATGCACATTTCAAAGGACTTCACGGGACCTTTAAGAATGTCGGAAATGCGGGATTTTCAGCATCATCCCTTCAGTGTAACATGATCTTTCAGGAATCATTCTAAGATATATGTACTCTAGAAATTCTCATTGTTATTATAGTATTAACAATGTTGAAAAAGGTTTTGTGAATTATTATTTTCTTGATATTTTAAAAGTCTATATTATTTTAAAAGATATTTTAAAGCTATCCAAAATCATTTGCAGCATTATAAAAGTCTCACTTTCATGCACCTTTGTGTTGTTTTTTGGTCAGTACTTTCACAGCTAAAAGACAGAGAAGTTTAATTAACAGATATTATTTTAGTGGTAATTAGTTATAATATGTGTGCATTACGTGACAGGTCAAGACATGAAAATGATAAAGTTATACTACATGATGGCTATAAATAAACACTTTCAGTCAATAATAGCAGAGGCACTAATATGCCCCCTTTTGTGGACATCATTGAGCCTGTGACCAGCCAATCAGAATCCACAATTCCAAAGAGCAAATATCATACATTTCTCAGTCCCATTATGGTCTCTTGAAGTGCTACACAAGTCTGCAAATGCTAAATGAAGGTAATGCATTGACCTTTCTCATCTCACTGTGCTCAAGTAATAGATGCGAGAGAAAGTGTTTTAATTTTAGGCTTTGGTCAGCTGTGATAAAGCAATATGGGTCAGCAAGAAGGGTTTCGTAACAGACCTGCTTTCTCAACGACTGCAGTGGCACATATACTTGAAGAAAAACTTGTGACAATTTCTTCTATGGCAGTTTTCCTCCCCCGTCTTCCCTCTGCACACATAAACCCACTAATGGGGCCTAATAGCACTGCAGGAAACAGCAAAATGAGAGTGAATCTTTGATGAAAAGAAGCGTGACTGCAAACTAGCCGCAATAAGACATCAAAATCCCTGGTTTTACACAGCTTAAGCGAATGCTGGGGTTCAACATAAAAACTATCAGACTGCATTGTGTGGATAGACACACAATGTTGTCTTTGTAAGCTGACAGGAAGTGAATGGAGATTGCTATTGTTACAAGCAAACATACACAATAAATCGCGCATGGAGATGAGGATCAGCCCATCCTGTTGTGCAGAGAGGATATCATGCACAAAGGCCACAGATAACTTGATTTTTATTTACAATTTTTTTGAAGTCTTGAACAATATCTTGTCACTGGGATTGCACCATTAAAAGGGCAACTTTTTAACTTATGAAATGACCCCTTTAAAATACTACTATGAACCATTTCACAGTGTGAACTGAGAAACTCAAATTTCCTTGATTTTTTTTAGTACTAAAAAATTTAATTCCTTGTTTTTTTTTTTTTTTTTGTAGTCTGAGTACTAAAAACATTCTGTTAGGATCAGAGCTCTTTGTTACTCTATAAACTGATTTTATAAAATGCCGTCTAAGAAATGGCATTCTGTTGAGGGCTTAAAACAAGACAGAACATAGTCAATTTACTTTTATAAATAATGTTTTTTTTTATGTTAATGATAACATGATAACCTCAGAGAACAGTACAAAATAAAAAAAAAATCATAATCACTTTTAAAGGGATAGTTCACTCAAAATAATAATTTTGTAACATATTACTTTCTCTTTACTGAAACACCTGTGGGCACCTAAACAGTTTTGGTTCACCTTGACATTTGGTATTTGGGCCTAACTACAATGCAGACCTATAGAAACTGAACCCAAAGAGTAATTATCATCATTCCTAGGCCCAAACTCAATAGTATCTGGCTGCAGACTTCCACATGCACAGAGAAGTGCAATCATAGACATAAGGCACGTGCACACATAGGGCTCAACCTGTATTGTGTGTCCTTTTTAGTCTTGGATAGAAAGTGCCCTTCCAAAATGATCTAAAGTGCCCCCGCTATCCACACGGGACTGATAGACATGCAGTCTCAGACACATGCATTCAATAGACCTGGTGACATCACAGTGAGGGGCAGGGTTAAGTGTATGCATAAAAGTATTGCAAGCATTCTCAGCTTGCATGTGCACCTGTTCTGCAGCCAGATACGTCTTGCCAAGTTTGTATATGATTTAAAAAAAAAACAAACTTAAAAATGTGTAATGAATTTATAAAATTATAATAATAACATTAAAAAATCATAATTTATTAGTCATTGCCATACCTGATAAACTGGATCACTGATAAAAATGGATGATTTTCGTTTTAGTGCAATTGAGGTAAATATTAACATGTTAAAATGTGTTAAAGCCTTCCTTTAATGTTTTGAAATGTTATGCCATTGTCAGTTTTTTTTTTTTTTTTTGGGAAGTACTCTACTCATAAATACATAACATGCAATATGAAGCTGCTTTTGCATTTTTCTGAAAAACAACACTCGATAGACTAGAGGTCATTCAATTTCAGTGTTCAAACACACTTTCTGTAATATAACAGTTTGATCAGGGTTTTTGTTACTGTATGTGTGTGTTTTTTAGACATACTGTATTTGGTCCAATTGTTTTGTGTGCATATATTCATTACAATATATGTTAATATTAATATATGTACATATATTAATTAACCAATTAGTGCAGCAATCTGATAAAAGAAAACCTAAGACATTTTTTTCTCTCCTATATATTTTGTATCCATTGAGCTTTTACAAATGCAGTATTGGGTAGTAAGTTACTTTTGAAACTAATACATTGCAATCATATGCTTATCTTAATCTTTAAAAAAAAATAAAAATAACAGCAAATACTTTCACATTACCTTACGCAAGTAGTAAAACATTGAATTACTTTTCAAATAAAAAAATGACTCAAAATTGAAATATTTATTTTGCTTCGGCTTAGTCCCTTATTTATCAGGGGTTGCCACAGCAGAATGAACCACCAACTATTCCAGCATATGTTTTACACAGCGGAACTGGAGCACCGGAAACACATGGAGAACATGGAAACTCTATACAGAAATACGAACTGGCACAGCTGGGCTCAAACCAGAGACCCTCTTGCTGTGAGGCAACAGTGCTAACCACTGAGCCACCTAAAATCCTAATACTAAATTACTTTTAAAATTAACTTTACCCAAAACTGTGCACCTCCAATGCAATCCGCTTCAAAAGCTTGCCCTTATCATGCTATTTATACACTTTGTGTATAGACAGGGCTTGTGCTGGCAGATTCATAAATCTGTACATTAGATTCATTTTCTTTCTTCTGTTGAACACAAAAGAGGATATTTTGAAGAATGTTGGTAATCCTTTTTTCTTACTATAGATGTCACTAGTTTCCAACATGCTTCCAAATATCCTCACACTTTTATGAGTGTAAGTAGTACACATAATGGTAAATAATAGTGCAAAGTTGTTTCTTTAAGGGCAGTGCTTCAGTGATAAGCCGTTATATCTATAAAAAAGTAAAATCTTCCACATTTTAACAAATACTGTAAGTCAGCCAGCTGCCTGAACTATCAGATCAGCCGGAATGTTTGTCTGATTTATTTCACCATCCAGCTCTCTGCATAGTTCACGATCTGACGGCCAGTCTGTGGCTTGTGAATTATTCACACTCACTCACATTAACGTCTCCCTCATCTGTGTTTTACAGGAGGATGAGGTGCCTGAGCTGGAAATAGATGTGGATGAACTTCTGGATTTGCCCAGCGACGTCGAGAGAGCCATTCGAGTGAAGGTCTAATCAGATCTTTAACACATTTACTTGATTCTGCTGGCTTCAGATATCTTCCCTTTAAGACTATTAACATCTCCCTTCACGCTTCTGAAGTGTGCTGTAGTATCCCTCGTCTGCAGGTGGTTTGACAGTAATCCTTGCTCTTTTTGAAGGCTGAATTTTCACTAGGAGATTTATTTCAGTGCTTTGCGTCAGCTTTCATTGGTGCACAGCTGGAAAAAAATAACACGCAGATTAGCGTGAAAGGCATTCATTTTGCTTCCATTTCTGTTTTTCAGATGCTGCTGGTCGACTGTTATAAGCCTAATGATGTAAGTGGCATTTTGAATATTAATAGCATTAGCAATTACCTTCATTACAGGCAGTGGGGTTATTCTCAGAGCCGCTCATTACAATGCGATTATGGCTCATTTAATCACACTATTCTGCCATAATTCTTAGGGCTCCAGCAGTACACAAAGTCACAGTTTGGCACTAAACATAGCATAAAATGAAACACTCACCATTTCTCTAGCAAACGAAACAAGCTATGGAGAATAAAAGAAATGTAATGCTACACTGTAAACTGTTTTACTGATGTTTTTCTACCACTCACACAATAGCTTGGTTAATGCTCACAAGGTATGGAACCTTAATTAAACTAGTTATGATCTGTGGGTAGTGATGTCTATGAGAGACTAGTGATGTGTTGGGGTAATGCATTACAAGTAACACGAGTTTGTAATGATATTACTTTTAAAGTAACAAGTAAAGGTTTAGTTTTAGGTTTCAGCAGGCTTCACCAAGTAAATGTAAGACCTTTTTAAGACCATCAGGAATGAAATTTCAGACATATATAGGGTTAAAGGCTAAGGATTTTCTTAATGGCCCAGTAGAAAAAAATATGTACTTGCCCCATCCAGAAACAAATTCTAATTGGTAATTTTTTGGTCACATAGTTTATATAATATCAAATCAAGCAGACCCTAGTTGTACACATGCAAACTTTTTTTTTTTTGCATTTGCCTTACAGCAATTTTATGAAAAGAATTATAATGTTGTGGATATGTACTTATTTGACTTTCATTTTATATCAAGCCTCCATTGGACATGTGTTGAGCAAGTCTGCTAAAGCACTTAGGGTCCTATCATACACCCGGCGCAATGTGGCGCAAGGCGCGGCGCAATAGTCTTTTGCTACTTTCAGCTCAGCGCAAGGGTCATTTTGAGGTGTTGCGCCACACTGTTTAAATACCAAATGCATTTGCGCTCATATGTGCGCCCATAGGCGTTCTGGTCTAAAAAAGCAGCCGTGTTTTGGCGCGTTGCTATTTTGAGAAACTGTAAATAGTCTGTTCTTTAGACCAAAACAAAGTCAGTCTATTGTCTGGCGCAAAGTGCGCCTGGCTTACACACTACACTCAAGATGTAGAGCAATATGCAAATATCTCTACATATGAAAAAGATATAATATATTAAGGATATATATAATAAGGATATATATAGGATATAAATATAAATGATTAAAATATTGCAAAACATATTAATTTCTTGCCTACATGAATTTAAAATCCACAGCCTTCATACTTTCTTCCTCTCGGGAGGCCTTTTCAGTTCATTCAATTTGCTTTTGTATAATGTTATTATTATTAGCAGTATTATTTATTATATCCATATTTATATTTGTTTTATTAAAAATAAGCTTAGATTTGTCCACCTGTCAGGTTTTAGACCATATGGGGCATAGCAGGTGTATTTGGAAATAACTCAGGATTTTGACCACACTTTGTTATTATTGTTCATTTATTCGTTTGCTGGAAATTACAACCGAATTTAGAAATAGTTTTGAAACAAATCTTTGCGCTTAACAAACAAAATTAATTTTTTATAGGCTAATTGATGTCTGTGCGGTAAGGTTTCCCTATCCACGAGAGCAAAAGCGAAAGTGAACTTACTTTACGTCATGTTAATAGCAAATGCGCATATGGCGCGATGCAGCTGGCTCTTAAAGGTAATGGTAGATTAGACTCTGATTGGTAATCAGAGTCAAATGCATTTATGACATTAAGAAAATAAACTCAACCCTTTTAGACCAAGCGCCACAGAGCAAAGCGGATTTTCCTGTCCTTAATTTAGCAAAAAATGCGTTCTGACAAGCCCAGAAAGCGTTTGCGCCCTGCGTTTTGTGCTCTGCGCATGGACCGTCAAAATAGAGCCCATAAATGCATTTGGTTCGTCCAGTGTAATTGTGATGTCCATGTCAAATAAACAATCAATAAAATTATATTAGTTATAAATAGTTTTTTTTTAGGTTAAGTTTAATTGAGATGTATTTGTTGCTGATTGGATGTGTGTTGGATCAATTGGGTAGTTTTACATAAACAACAGAAAATTAAGACCTGTTTAAAATGATTTAAGACATACGAGACAATATTACAGTCAATTTAAGACCTTTTAAAACCCTGCGGACACCCTGCGCATTACTTAAAAAAGTCATATTTAAGTTTTTTTTTGTTTTATTAGCTTTTAAAATAATTAAATAAAAAAATAAATTGCTGAATTAAAATTAAAGAAGTTACAATAAATCATCTAGTCAATGAGAGAATGTGTTTATTATTTTAAACACATCGAAGAAAAGGAAAAGGGGATTGTCTCAATGGACAGTGATTTTACTTAAGACAAATAGTACAAAAGTAGAAAACAAATTGCTTTAAACTTGCTGTATTGACCTCATTCTTCAATGTGGAAGTGTACTCATTTTTTACAATGGTTTTGGAACTTTCGATTCAGCTGCCTTATGGCAAAAATTACTAGGAATAATAAACGGCAGAAAATGATCAAACTACTTGCTTTACAAATAAGTGTGTTCATGAATATACAGACAAAGTAGAATAGTATAATAAGAAAATATCAGTTTGCAACATCAAGCAGCATAACAAGCAGTTTTTAACGTCTAAAAATTAGTTCAAGTCTCAAGCCAAAAAGACTCCAATGGCTGCACCCACTCGTACGTGAAGAATAAGGTCAATAAATGCTGGGGTCAGGAAGTTCTCAGATAACATTATCCTAAAATATATACATTTTTATGTGTTTTTTAAAGGCAAATGTAGGTTATACAGTGTATTGATAATTGCAGAACTCCTCAACTGAAAAAAAAAGTTCTGAAAAAGATCAAGCCAGGTGATAAAAAGCAACTCAAAAGTAACAATGCATTACTTAGCATAAAAATGGTTTAAGTAATGCAACTAGTTACATTTTGGGGAAGTAACTCAATATTGTAATGCATTACTTTCAAAAGTAACTGTCCCCAACACTGGTAATGTCCGTGAGAGATTAGTGATGTCTGAGAGAAACTAGTGATGTGTGTGAGAGACTAGTGATGACGAATAAGAGACTAGTGATGATTGCTGAGAGAAACTATTGATGTCTGTTAGAGATTTGTGATAACTGTGAGAGACTAGTGATGACTGAGGATGCTTTCACACTAGCACTTTTGGTCCGCCCCTAAAGTCGTTTGACATCAGAGTGCAGTCTTCTAAACTAGGTTGCACACCCACAAACCGTGCCCCAGTCTATTTGAAAGACATGGTCTGGAGTACGGGTCACTTCTGATATAAATGCAACTTTACCAAGTGAAGTTTCACTAACTATTTTGGAGAAGAGCACGTGATATGATTGATCGTGGCTGGTCCCTCATCATTAATCATTAGCTAGCCATCAGATTATTACAAACTCCACATAAATATCCTGCCTGACTTTACTCCCTCATGTTCATTTTGGAAGATCCTCCCATCCACCCCTTCTCCCTCCTCTTCTTTTCTAGTTTAGTCCAGGATTGGGCGACACAGCAGCTCAGTAGCTATGACTGCTGCCTCACAGCAAGAAGGTCACTGGTTCAGTCCTGGCTTGGCCAGCTGGCATTTCTGTGTGAAATTTACGTGTTCTCCCTGTGTTCATGTGGGTTTCCCACAAGTACTCCAGTTTCCTCCCACAGTTCAAAGACATGCAGTATAGGTGAATTAAATAACAGCATCAGTCCCAAGCACTTTAGTACTGAGCTTCTCTATGCGCGTATGAACTGGTGAGGTTGGCGGTCTATTCCTATAGCACTCTCATTGTTAATCAAGAAATAGACCAAGCAAATTGAGGGAGCCCTCGAGAACTATCTGATATCGTACCCCCTTTCATGCTCATTGACCAGGTGGAAGCTGTGAACTCATCTATGTTCGAGCTCAGGGTTCTCTCCCAGGACATCATGTCAATCCAGCTAATGTCGTCAAGCATTATCTAAGTGTGAACTCCTTTAATAAGATGAATGAACCTCCAACTGTACAACAAAGTTTAGTTTTCATAACATTTATTTGTATGTCTGTGCATCACCTACCTTGGTGACAAGCGTGACTGACCCATTGCAAAGACAGTGATAATGTCTGCTCGTCTTCTCCGAAAACAACTTCTGTGGACATCGTGTGACTTTTTCATTCTTAGCGACTGATAGACGTAAGTGGCTCTTTTTAATTTGATTTTGATAACAAAACGCAAAAACATTTTGGTAACAAAACGAAAAGATACAGTAAAAGCAGAAAAACCGTGATGTGTGTACGTCTTTCGATTTTGGCACCTTTGCTTTTTTGGCCGTCACTAGCAACAGCTGTACACACAACAGCAGCTTCAAATGCAAGCTTACCAGGGTTCAGAAGAAAAAAAAAAGAACTCAAATCAGCCAAGAAGCTGGCAAGGGGGGATAATCGAACTCTGGTTCGGACTAAGCAATCAAACCAAGTGTGAAAGCACCCTGAGCGACTATTGATATGCTGTAAGAGATTAGTGATGACTGAGAAACTATCAATGAGCAGATAGAGATTAGCGACGACTGTGAGAGACTAGTGATGACTGTGAGAGACTAGCAATGACTAGAGACAAGCAATGTCTGTCAGAGGCTAGCAATGACTGTCAGACACTAACGATGTCTGTAAGAGACTAGTGATGAACAGTACGAGTGATTGTGATGTCTAGATGTCCTGTGGGAGACTAGCAATGACTGTTAGACTACTGATGACCTGTAATGACTGATGTCTTACATGTGCTAAACCAAGGGTGTCAAACTCAGATCCTGGAGGACCACAGCCCTGCACATTTAGTTTCAACCCTGCTTCACTACATTTACCTGTAGGTTTCAAACATGCCTGAAGGACTCAGTTTGATCAGGTGTGTTTGTTTTGGGGTTGAAACAAAACTGTGCAGAGCTGCGGCCCTCCAAGAGGCCAGTTTGACACTTGTGTTGTAAACTCTTGTGTAACCTTCAGACATTCTAATCATTGTCTTTATTCTCCTCTAATGTGGATTATTGTGTTTTCCACAAATAATTGGTTGTTTTGTAAAACACTGTTCTGTCTGCACTGTAGCCTAGTGGTTAGCACGCTGTCATATGTTGCAGTAGCACATCAGGGCATCTCAAATTCGATTCCAAGCTTGAGGACATTTACCAACCCTTCCCTCTCTCTCTCTCTCCAAATTTACTTCCTGTCTCATTACTGTCCTAACTAAAAAAGGCCAAAAATGAATCTTAAAATAAAACACTGTTGTTAGCATGGTAAAGTCACAACTAAAACCCTGTACATTTTTGAACAATAAAGATTACATTATTTCGACATCATTATTATAAAGCTAGATTTATAACCAAACTGCATTTCTACAATATAATTGCACCTCAAACCAAAACATCAACAAACAAGAGTTACCCATTAATACTTCACACACCGTGTCCGCTTGCAGGATTTTGTGGCAGCGCTGCTGGAGAAGGTGCGGGGGATGCAGAAACTCAGCACCCCTCAGAAGAAAGGCGATCTGACACCATGAGTTCACCACAGCTCCTCCAAACACCACCAAACCAACCGGTCACTCCAAACCCAGAGGAGCGATGCAGGCATGCAGACCCAACCACTAAACCACAGCGTCTGTCAAATGAAGATCAACGATACGAGTCCAGCCAAGCCAATCTCAGCCGCAGGTTGACCACCCCGAACTCTTTTTACTTCGTCTTAGTACTGTTTCAGCATATATTACACGTAGAGAGTGTGCTAGTGTCCCCCCCTTTAGTCTAAAACTACCGTTGTGATTTAGGGCAAGGAGTCGAATGGTTGATGTTACACTGTTCACTAATACACTTCTTTTTATTTTCCGACCACGTGACTTGGCTTGATGTGTCTGTCTGTAATCAAGTAGGAAATTAGAACAAAGCTGATTTCTTTTCACCCTCTTTTTTTTTTTTGGTCAGTCTCTCACATCAGCTGTCTTTCTTGAAGGCGAAATGATTTTTTTGCAGGCCAGCAAATAGTTGTAGATGTGGGGATTCAGCTTTTGGAGCGTGTTGATGTATTTTGGGTAGGGGAAGGGGGGATGAAAATTGTGAACTTGTGTTTTGTAAGCCATTTTTAATCTACCATTTTTAGAGAAAAGAAGAAAAAAAATGACAGTTCTGTGCTTAGTACTACTGCTTTTAGGAATCATTTGACTGAAGAAAATTAAGCTAGATTGAAGTTCTTTTAGGATGAAGAGCAGCAATACTGATTGAGTGGATTTGCCAATTTGTTACATCTGATATTTTTACAATAAAGGAGAGTACGCCGAATTGTGATGAAGGCTATGAATGATGATGCGTTAGTTGTGTAGGCCAAGGTTAATGCGAAATCAAGCTCAAAGCCAGAATATCTTTTGTAAATAAAACGTTTATTCAATTTTAAGATTTGAGATATGCGTGTTACTGATCAGAACTTCTTGGAATGACAGAAAACTTGTACTTTGTCCACTCTCACAACCAAATACATGTAGTAAGGCTCTCAAATAAAGAATGGTGCTACATACATGTTTGAACATCTGTGTTTTTTCTTTAAAAAGGAAATAAAATGAAGTAAGCTTATTCTGATTGTGTAACACCTGAACTTACTATGCAGATTCATCCAGTACAGCAGCTGCAGTTGTTGCTCTTGCAGCAAACACACTGATTTTAAGTGTTTAAGACTGACAGGCTCACCGCTCTGTCACTATAAATCAGATCTTCTCTCAATGTTCAGCAGCTCTACTTCAAAGATGAGCGTGGCACCACCTAGTGGGAAAACAACAGATTTGCACAGTGACTTTGACGCAACCACAATTCTATTTATGTATGAAGGGGAAGGGCTTCAAAATTTAAATCTAAAAAAAATGGGACACCACTACAACACCTGCACATGTCATCATATGCCATCACAATCTCTTATTTCATATGAAATCAACAACGGTGACTGCTGTAGTTATCCCAGTTGCGTTATTTTTTGCTATATATCTTCAGGAAATCACTTAAGGCAATGATATCATAATGATATAATGTGGCAATAAGCTCGTAACTATACTGTGCATTTACACCGTGGCCATATTCATCTATGTAAACACAAGAAAACAACATTACGTTATACCAGACACTGTAAAGAGGTAACTGCCAGCCATTAGACTTCTGACAGGGTTTTTGAGTGACAGATGTGAAAATTTGTTGTGGGACTACTACACAGGAGTTATTAATGGGGATTATAGATAGTGAAACTTTTTTTTATAAGCGGGTTTTTTTTTAAAGCATGATGGTAAAAGATGAACGGCGTTATGAATGTATTAAAACACATGTCTGCTTGTTGTAAAAATTCATAATAATGACAAAAAATACTAATTTGTGCATCTCCTGACTTCTATGTGCAGCCATGCTGTTGTTGTAGATGGTGTATTCTGAGAAATTTTCGTACCCTTGGTTTCGAGGGCTGTCTAGCCCTTCCCCTTAGCCCTATGCTTTCAGGCTCAAGAGAATTGGGACACTTTTGCCCCTTCACGTTAATGCGCAAAATGAGGGGTGGGGTAAGGGGAAGGGCTAAGGCAAGGGTCACCAATCTTGGTCCTGGAGGGCCGGTGTCCCTGCAGGGTTTAGCTCCAATTTACCTCAACACACCTGCCTGGGTGTTTCAAGTATACCTAGAAAGACCTTAATTAGCTTGTTCAAGTGTTTTTAATTAGGGTTGGAGCCAAAATCTGCAGGACACCAGCCCTTCAGGAAAAAAAATTGGTGACTCCTGGGCTAGGCATGGGACGATAACTGTTCAATGTATACTATAGCTTGGAAAAGTCAATGTTTTTAAACCGTCAAAATTTTCTGCTATACCGTTCCTAAGGTTTGAGTAAGATTTTTTATTTACTTTTTTTTTTGTTTAAGATTGCAGTATCTCCAACAGAAATACAAAGATACCTTTTTCAAATGTAAAAAAAAAAAAAAAATCTGTGTTTCTGAAACTAACAAAGACAGCAGAAGTCCATAATTTATTTGAATTATTTAGCCTGACAAGTTTACTGCTCCAAAATATTTTAAATGTTTCTCAAATTAAAATATATTGTGTACAAAGAGGAAAATGGTTTTGTTTTTTACCCAGACATTTGAAAACATTATATATTATAGCAGTAATCTCAATACCGTGAAACCGTGATATTTATATCTAAGGTTATCATACCGTTAGAACCTTATACCGGCCCATGCCTACCCTAGACTAATGAGTGGAATTGGGATTGGGCCAAAGTGGCACAAGCAGAAGGTCTAAGTTTTATTTCGGGAAGGCCAGATTTGTACAATTACAATTGTCAAATCACTGTCTTATTGATGTAAGGCAAGATATTTCTTCTTGTATAACTGTGATCATTGTGCAGTTTTTGATAAAACTAATTATAATCTTACTCTTGCAAACATTATGTTGCCCCTTTAATTTGTTGTAGTTATTAATATGTTGGTTATACAACACGTAATAGTTTGCTTTCAATCACATGGTTCTGGTGATGTGTGAAATTTAGATGGAGGGCAAGTAGAAAACAACAGAGGAAAGTCAGTATTTTTGCGATTTATACCATATATCAAAGAAGATATAAATAGACAATAACCACATATGTTGGGCATGAAGAGGGCCGAGTTTCTACTGTACTAAAATATATTTGTCTGCCATTGAGGAGGTACATACTGTATGCAGTAAAGAAATAATTTAATAGGCTTTAATTTCTATAATTACACACCATCTTAATGCACCACAGTTTACACTAATGTTACAGTATTCATTACAGTTTACCGTGCTACATTATTCAGTAGCATTAATTAACAAAGAGTTATACGCTTTACTAAGTGGTTTAAAAACATGTTTATTATAAATTACTATAGTTTTTCCCCCCATGCGGATATCTTCCAGACATCACAAAATAACAGATGAAAGCTTACAAAAGCGTGAACGCATAGTCTACACTATTATTTCTTTATTTCATAAGGGGGAAAGTGCTCCACAATAATAACCATCTAGTTTTGTCGCTAGGGTTGCATTTCTTTTTTGTTCGGTCTATGATCTTACCATCAACAAACATTGACCACTGCTGCACATATAGACATTAACGTTTCGGTTGTTTTTTTCCACTGAAGAAACCGGGAAAAGACTTTATTGATTTTATAAGACTTTAATATTTCTTTTTTTTTTGGTAAATAGTATAAACACATCTAAAATCAGACTGTATGTTAAAAACGAATGACTGTGTATTATCTTACCTGGAATTTTAGGTGGTGCTCCTCTATCGCCATAACCTATAGTTCAGAAAACAATCACATGCTCAACATGTGATCTGTAAATCATTTTCTATTTAACAATTTTTAAAACTCAGCTTTCATTACACACTTACCAAGCTCAGAGGGAATGACCAGTTTCCTTTTCTCACCTTCACACATCCTAAAAGAAACAAGTAGATCACATGCTAAAAGATCTTTTAATTTTTCTATATAAATCGAGACATCAATGATATGACAGGACATCACTAGAGAGAAAGAATAAGATATCAAACTTGAACCCTAAATAGCACACTTATGCCAAATATATTTGCAGACAGGGTGCAAATTACAAGAGGGGTTTGGAATCAAGCATTTAATAAACGCTTGATCCCCCCTGAAGGACATCAAAACAAGATGCATGGGGGGTTTGTCTTTTAATAGTTAAGAAATAGTTTGCTCTGATCTGTCTTAAATCATATTAATATATAAAATAATAGATGACTTCAGTACATTTCACCACCCGTAAAATGGTTCATACCATTGTGAGTGTGTGTGTGTTTGCAACAAAAATATTAATTAATTGGTTGAAAACCAGCAAATCTAGAACACCAACAGACAGCATAACTGGTCACAAAACATGTTGCTTTAAATAAGGCGCTTGTAGGCATCTGTAAAACTAGATGCATATGTTGTATTTTATTACACACTGCCTCGCACATGGAATTTAAACAGTAAAATAAAAAAATATGTGCAGTCTTTCATGGTCATCCACTTGCTGCAGGAAAGCCTGTCACCATTATTTTAAAATCACAAATGTCACAGAGAACCAATAAATATCCCTTAAAGCACTGAAAACATAATAACAAGTTTGATTAATAAATTAGATGTAATTCAATTAAATATATAAATTGGGTTCACTGAGGCCCCCCGATCGTCAATGTATAATTCACACCATCAATGAATGCTAATATATCTGCACACCATCTTAAATCTAATCTGCTAATTCCTCTTCTTAGTGTAGGGTTCATCTCTTTAAATCCTAATTCAGACTAACGTGTGAAAAATAATCTGAGCTTATGTGTGAATGCAGTAATGCCGCTGCTCACCCCAACAAACCCTGATCCCAGCCCTTGATGACTTGTCCTGTGCCAAGAGTGAAGGTGAACGGCTGATTCCTCGGTATACTGCTGTCAAACTCTGTCCCATCCTCCAGTTTACCCTGCAGATAAAAACAAAACGGTAACACAAGACATTTCTGGCATAAATAATACTTTGGTGAGAGCAGTCAAACACATACAGTGTAGTGCATGTTCAACACGTCTCCCTTTCGAGACTTAATGGGGCAGTTGTCCACTCTTTTCTTGATTCCAATCTGTAGCTTCTTCTTTTCGGCTCCCTGCACAAGTGCCATGGGGATGGACACCAGAGTGACCGCTAATAGCAAATTCAGCCTCATGGCGCTGTTAAAACAAACAGAAATGGCAGAAATTATTCGTGGAAAGCTACTAAATAACGTAGATTTCTACGCATGCGCAGGGTCTCCACACATAAGTACACGTTATCATTTAAATTAATATAGTAAATGGTTATATTATCAGCAACATGACAATTCATTAGCATAAGTGATTCTATAAGGTGCATTTTAAGTAGCAAAACGCGTCCATTATTATTCAGTTTTGTGGTGTGTTGGATTTATTTAAGAGGAAGTTAATTGGATGAAGGCTTCGGTTTTGTATTTAAGCATGCTTATTGGGATTTTTCGCTTAACATTACAGCAGTGTTTTGATGATTCGGTCGCATTTTAAAATTACATGGAATATTTATCTATTGCAGCGAATAACTGAGAGATTAAAATGCAGTTACCTGTTTTAAGAATAATATTCTTGTTCCTCCTGAATCTCAGAATGAGTCGGTCATTAGGAAGTGACGTCACGTCAGCAACAGGCCTGCCTTCCTACTAGGTTTCAAAATTTCAGTCAATGTTTAAGTTGATTATAAAATTAAATAAAAAAAAACTACATGTATTTTGAAACATGTAAATCTCGAATAAGTATATAATAATGAACAAATCTACACTCATAGGAAACGCCGTCATATTATATTATTATAGCTTTGAGTAAATACTGGCGTGGTAGATTGTGACTTTTATTTTGTTTGGTGCTACAGCACCAATGATCTAAAACAGAGACACACGAGGGCGCCATATACTCACGAATGTCTGACTTATTTTTGTCGTTCAACAGCTAAACTGAGGCCAAACATTAAGGCAAGTGA